AGGAAATTCTGACATTATTTATAACAGGTATTTTAGTTAAAAACTTAAAGGTTACAAAATTGGTAGTTTCTTGTCCATATATACTAAGCTGGCCTATGAATCTCTAACAGAAGAGTTTACAGAAAAATTTGCACCTTGAAGAGCTTTATGGTTAATTGTGTGAATTTTATTTAAATGCTTACGCTTGTATATTAATACATAATAAATTAAATTTTATATTGCATTATGTTTGTGATAAGAGGGTAATATTCAAGGGCAGTCACATGTGATTATATAAGTGTGGCTCGCGCACCCCGCTGCATTCTTTTTTTTGCTTGATTGTAGTGCCATTGGATTTTCTGCGCTTAGAGAGTCGACAATAATCAAATAAATAGACAGTGCTTTTTAGTACTTCGACTTCCTTATATTATTTCATATCACTTTATTGTCTATAATATTCTTTATATTACCTACTTTATCTTCTTTACTGCCTACAGTATACAAGTTTTCAAGGAATTACATCCTGTAAAGCCAACAATAAGCAAAATTTATTTGTAGGCAAGAAAAGGTTAAGAAACATTATTAGTAAAAACAGGTCAAGAAAAAAAAATTGTCGTAATCATGTTGGGACGGGATTTAATAAAAGTAAGGGAAATAAAAATGCTTGTTCAGCTTAATTTCGCCTTTTAAAAAAGATGAACATATATATTTTTTAATGTACTACATCCTTTAACCCAGTGATCTTGCGATTTAATTGCAACATCTACTTATCATGTAAGATTAGATTAGGGTATTTACTGAATAGTTTAACTGCCGGTAATTTTTGCAGTGTTCAATACTTCAGGTTGTTAAGAACCCAGGAAGCAGCTGGTTCTTTTTAATGCTAGAATCTCGATATAGAACAACATACGGAGTAACTTCTGAGTGTAATTATGAAATTTTCTCTTCAATTTAGCTACATAGTAAAAATTCCATCAGTATTGCTTCCTTTATTATATTTGTAATGAGTGTATGTAATGTGAGGATTGACCTATCCGAGGGTACATGCACCTACATTTACTTTTGAATAATCACACTTTACAGAATGTTGCAACTCTCTGGTCCGCTTTAAAGAAAAGACGCAAGGTCTTGCCTATATCTTTATAAACATTTTACAAATAGCAAATTCGTATTAAAAATTTTTTATATGGGGCAGTGAACTATGAATCTAAATTATAACAACGTATGTGGGTTGGAAGCCCTTTAAATGCTTTACCGTGAATAACTAATCTGGTAACTGAGATTATTGGAATTAGAAATTAATTGTTTTTCTTACATGCACTAAAAAGGAACATAATAATATCTTAAATGTTTTTAAATTTATGAGGTCACATCCTTAAGTATGACAAAAGTTATTTCTACTATAACAATTTACATCTCTTTTCCTGAAGTCTATATAAAATTACACAGTGGTTGTTGAAAAGCTTTTAAGCTTGTTTTTTAATAAAAAATAACCAATATGTTTAAAATTATCGTATACCATTTATGTTTATAAACAGTTAACCTGGATGCATTAAATAAAAATAAGCTACATCTTTTTAATTCTTATTGGAGTATCGAAAAGAAAATTCCGGCTAAATTAATAAGACTAAGCAGATCTTTCAAGTGGGGAATTTAACACACTTCATTAATATAATGGTATTGGCGACATAAACTTGGATGACACGAGTAGATATCCTGTAGTTAGGATTTGATGCTATAATAAAATAATTCCTGCCACCTTAAGGCGAGGTTCAAATTTTCACGAAACCACTGGAAGGGTAGTTTTTAAATTACTTAATACAATTAAGTTTTCTTGCGATTATTTTGTAAAAATGCGTATGCGTATGGAATGTTTTCTTGCAAGCATAAATTATTATTAATGACTATAAGAAACGATATTCGCAGGTAACTTTGGCAAGTAGTATGTTATTTTTATAGACTGTCCGCTTAGCCCATCCTGAGTGTATTCCTGCAATCTCATGGCAGTGTTATTATTTAGGCTTTGCAGTCAACCTGATAAGCTACGTAAGTAGAGGCCCAAATTTATATAGACTTCAGATGTAAAAAAGGCTTCTCCTCGGATGTACTTACCATATTTCTTAATTATAAGAAGAGAATCTTTTTATTGCACAGCTCTACAGCTGGGTCAATTGGCCTTTAAATTAAGATGTGACCCCCTTTATTTCTTTTTGGGGGAAGGGGTAGTTTTGGTGTTAAAAATTTTTTTTTGTATAACCAGGCAGCAAAAACTTAAGTATGAGAAAACTTATCAAGTTTTTCCTTCAATATCAATAATTTGTGAAAGGCTCACAGAACGCTTCACTTTTTACATTATATTTTGTAATGGTAGTGTTTTCTTGTGCCTCTTTAAATATTTAGCTATGCTCAACAAGAAGTATTGATCTAACGACTGTATGAAATAAAAATATATATTCATGTATGATCATATTTATAATGTAATTCTTCCCCTTGATATATATAAATCACTTATATACCATCTTTAAAAGCATTTTTGGATGATGTTGTCTAATAATGTTCCATTCTTGTTTTCAAATGCTTTATAGGGCATATCTTCCTCTAAAAATTATTTATTATATAAAAATGTTTCTTTTGTGTCCAATTTTAGAAAGTAGGAACGTAGGTATACCATAGTATTACCTTTCTTTTTGTTGAAATGTTATATTACGGTAAAGTCTACACTCAGTCTATTATGATAAAGTTTCTAATATTTTTGTAAAACTTTTCGTGGTAAAATAGCCATGTTTAAGCTTACGACAATTAATTCTTCTCTAGTAGCTAAAATTTAGTATTATGGATCCAGAAATAAATGTGACACCCACTTTAACGTCCCCTTTAATAGCATTCATTAACGAATTAAAGTCACTTTATCCGTATTCAAGAGTTCATTTTATGTAGTTTGGCGGACCGTGGGTGTGAAAAGGTTAGGGATCATTAAAGTAGGTCTCTGCGAGGGCTTTTAAAATGTTAAGTTGCAAGTACTGTCCATAATATATCGTATATTATGCAAAATTAGAAAACGTCTTTTCTTTACACAATCAATCTTTTTAACGTATCGATGTGTAATTTATGATAATACGTCTCTAACCTTTAAAGATGTGAATATCCATTACCTTTTCATACCACTGGTGCTAAGGTCTATCATGCTTTATTTTATCTATTCAATTAAATTTTAATTGCACCCAAAGCATTTTCTAGATCGTCCATAATTATGTTTGGGTGCGTTTTTAACCCGTAAACAGCTACCGAAGGCTTACCACCTAAAGTAAAAATCCGATTCTGTTACCTTCTTTATATCAAAGCGCTTACTTCTTCTTTAGGTTCTCTACTCTTTCCTTTGTCTTCCTTCTATCCTATTTCAAGCTTTTAGTTATAATTCTGTTTTCAACTGTGCACTGCCAAACTTAGTTGTGCCAAAGCTCCAATCTTGTTCTGATATCCTAGTTGTGTCTTTCCACCTTATTTCTTTACTTTTTGTTTCTACTATCTATCAAAGATTCTAACTGTGGGCGTAAAAGTCTTTAAAGAATGGTACCATTTGTGAGTGGTAACATTTGGCAGACGTTATATCATAATCCTAGGTCACTTGTTTTTATATAATAATTTTTTTTTGTTACCAGTGCTTATATATAATTAGGCTTAGAAAATGTAAGAAGATATTGATGATTATTGATGAACGTTGAAAACAATACAAAGGAGAGGTAAAACGAAAAAGAACAAATTAATGGATAGAGATAAGACATTAAACTACCATTTATTAAGAAGTTGACGTTCTAGTATTTATAAGCTAGACCTTCAATAATATACAAAATTTCAAGGTTTCTTATAGTATAAATCTTTTGCCTTAATATTTAGAGTTATAATGTTTGCACAACTAAATTAAAAATCTAAAAAGATTGTAACGAACGCTATGGAAGGAAGGAATGTTGTGTGCGCCTATTTTGAATATTTTGACTTTTTTAACCCCCTTCAAGCGACCCAATTTTGTTGCTATATTATTAACCTCGAATAACACATTTTTAATTTATATTATAATTTTCGGATTAAAGTTAGCTCTTAAGCTTACACACAAACTAGTTACTAAAAGTAATAAGATAAAAAATTATTTTATAAAATAACTCTAAAATATTTATTATAAGTCAGGTTAATTAGAAGCCACAGAAATTTACAGCTTTATAATAATAAATTTAACAACATATTGATATATTATAATTACTATTGTGGAAAGCAAAAATATTATAAGTATTATACAAATAACTTTTATTTGTTCCACATAACTTTTAAAAAAACGTTTAAAATGTTAAACTGCCTATTTAGTATAAAGTTTAAATCAAAATACATGCAGAGCTCTCTTTTATTTTATGCAAGTATTTTTAAATAATCTAAGAGTAAACGCTAATACGTTTTAATAAGAAAAGTTACTAACTGTTAAAAGCCATGCTTGCGAGAGATAGGTTTTTAATATTTATAGATTTTAACTATTAACAAAAGTTCACTGTTTAAGTTAGAGGTAAGGTAAAAAATCTTTTAAAGAAGTATAAAACAGTCTGTATAAATGCCATTTTTAATAGTCATAACGATTTTACTAACGAAAATTGTAATGATACAGTTCATCTTAAAATTTTTTTTTTTATTCGCTCACAGTAGTATTTTTTTAGACGGAAACAAACGGTTAAGACGAAAACATAGGCTTGCAGTAATAATAGTTAAACGAATGCCTTAAAAAATTATATGTATTGTTAAGCAAAAAAATACCAACAACCGGTATCAGGAACATACAAGTAATATAGAAAATATAAGAGATTTTAGAGCAATTTTTAAAGCATAGATGCACCATAACAAACGCAACAATAAAAGATAGATTAAACTTTAATAACCCCGAAAGCTTTTCTATAGTTTTTCTTAAAATAGATATTTAGATATTAAATAGAAAAAGACAAACTTTTATATAAAAATTTTTTTTATAAAAAATTCCAAAAGTCCTTGGCTATGATTTTTTTGGACAAATGTTTAAAAAAACTTCATACACGAGAAGGAAATAACATCTAAAAATGATATAAAAATGAATTAAAAAGAATTAATTTTCACTAATAATAGTAAAGACTCACCACGCGAACAGGTCGACCCATACTTACGGGCGGTAAGTTAGAAGCAAACTTAGCGCGAACAACACCAGAATTTCCGTGAGGACGGGTTATTCTACCCCAAATAACCCGTTTTTCCGGCTTATTTTTTTTTTTAACAACTCTGTAAATGTAAGCCACCCTCTTTCCGAGATAAAAATTACAATGTTCCCTAGTCTGAACACCTTCAAGTTTTAAAAGAGACGTATGATATCTCTGAAGCCTTTGGCCCCTTCTAAAGCCCAAAACTTTGCCTCTACAGTACAATCTAGAATATAAAAATAAATTTATTTCATTATGTAAAAACAATATAAATACACTAATATATAAAACAGTAAATATATAGCATAACTGGCAAAAGTTAAGCTGTAAAAAAAAAAAAGAGTCAGGACCTCGCCATTTTTGAGAGTAATATGGAAGTAGCTAAAATTTTGAGTTCCTTCGTTACATTTATATAAACACGCGGTTATTTTGGGTACCTTACCAGGCACGGGTTAATGAGCCGGTGGTTAGTTTCAAATTTATCTGAATTGTCTTACAAGCATATACGACGCGTAATTTTATTAAGTTTTTAAGTCGTGTCTATAAAGTTAAAGTGCACTTAGCAAGTAATTAAATAACCTGTTGAACTGTTTTAAGTTTGTGATTAACTAATATATTATATATCATAGTACATCTCAAACATTTAAACCTTTTACCATTAATTCTTTGTAAAATATTATTTTTGTTAACTTTAAAGAGTGATTTTATTTCTACTGAGAACTATTGAATTATTTTCAAAACTTAAATTTTTTACCTAAGGTTTATAGAAGATTGTGGTAATCTTATAAGCTTTAACCTAATTTAATCGGCCGTTTCTTGGGTTATTTTTATTTATTTAATACAAAGAAAAGCTTTGAAGATTTTAAAGCGAGATAGTCGTAGGTTCAGGTTTATTTTATATTGGTAGGAAAAACGAGTATTAAGTTTATACGTATACTATTAGTTAAGTTGTAGGCTCTTTTCAGTTCACATCTCTTATTACAGGAAAAAATTTTTAAGAAAGTTTCTTTTATTAAAATACATATAATTAAAGTGGATTTACAATTTTTTAAATCTTATGGGCCAAAATTTTTTAACTTTTACGTACATTTTGATAACTTTCACTCGCGAGATTGTGCTCTTTTAATTTAAAATACAGCGCTCAGCTGAACCTAGGAAAACAGGAAGCTGAAGAATCAAAATTTGTGAACGTTTATAAATTCAAGCCTGGCTTTAGTGTCAAAAAAGGATTTTCAATAATAGATTTTAGTATACAATTTCATAAGTTGCCTAAACTTATTTTGGCTATAGTACTCCCTATATGATTTTTCTAAAAAAAAAATTATTTTTTTATAAGAGTTGAAAAAAAATTAGTTATTTTTACAAAAGATAGACTTGCTGTATATTTTCCAAATTTAAATTGCACTCCGAGTAAATTGCAAATTTTGCCTAAGGTCACCTTGAATTATGTAAGTTACCATAACACAGCTAAAGCATCTGACTTGGCGGGGTCATAAACATAAAATTCTAAAATGCGAAAAAAGTGTTTAGATTTGAAGCTTACAAAACATTGTGTGGCTTTAGATAAAACAGTGTGAAATGAAAGTTTTAAACAGAAAAATAAAGAACAAAGACTCGGAAGCTGCTATTATTAAAAAAAAACTATCCAGTTATTTTAAATAAAGTATTTCTATTATTAGTAAAATATTATTAGAATGCACTTGCCTAAAGCTTAAATATTTTAAAAATATGCTTTCAATAACCATCTATAAAGCTATTAGAAAAAAGAAGTATTTTCAAATTTATAAGTTAAGCTAAAAATAGCTAGTTTAGTTAAACACTTGCACGCTATTAAAGTAATAACTAACTTATGCCGCACCATAAGCTTTTGCAATAAAAAAAAGGAGAGAGAAATAGTTTAAACGGGGTATAGCGAATGTACATATTTATTAAGTAATTATAACTTAGTAGAAAAGTGCACAAAAGCTAGTTATTCATGTAATTATGATCTCATATAGCACATTTATTTATACTATGAGTTTAGCCATAATACCAAACTGTTATTATCTTCCGCGTAACCGCGTTAACACAGTAAGAATAACTACAAAATGCTTTGTTAAATTGAGAGCTTTCTAAACAAAAAAGTAGAGGAGTTGAATATGTCCAAAAAGAAATAACAGTTGTGCATAATAGCATATCTTAAATGGAAAATATTTGCAAAGTTCAAAGAATAATTCTTTCATGGGATAACAAATAGTATAACTATTATGCCCCTCCTTCAGAATCAAATTTTACTAAGCCTTTGCAACGAAGCGTTTTATCTTTTGTTAGTAATACCCGAAAAATTTTTAATTTCAGAAGATTTACTTCATTTTCATTACATAAAACTTTAATTCAAACGAAAAGGCTTTATTGTGGGCTATAGACGTTGAGTATATGCTACTCCCTCTTTCCTAACTTATTAACGTGGTAAACTTGTTTGGCGTTATTGTCATTCCTAGAATATATCACAAGTAGGGGTTGCAAAAAACATAATTATAGTACATCCAAGGTAGGAATAGATGTAAAAATATTAATTAGGCAATATATATATATAATACTTTGATATTAGGCCTGACCCTTTTTTTTAAGACGTCTCTACGGTGCGTCTATTTTTAATTATGCCAAATTGGTAGACGCATGTGGATTGCGCTTTGTAAAACACCACCAACACTTAATAATGTCGTGGTAGTGATAGAAGCGATGAACATAAGACGACGCTCTTTACTACCTTTTTTAGCTGCTCAGTGCGTTTCTATAACTTCGCTACCTTTAGGGGCGAAGGCAAAAACCGTAAGGTCCCTCGATGAACTTATCTAACTGAGATTAGCTGATGAAATGGCTTATATAGTCTCTGCCACTTTAGCGATGAGAAAGCGCCTTACGGATTATATATGGATAGCCACATTACCGGAATTGAGAAATGTCGTCCTAGCTCAGCGCATTGACACTCATACTTAAGGGCGTGGATTCGATTCCCAATAACAAGAATTTTGGTCTTCGGTGGCTGCGTATTTAACCTCGCCCTTATTAATTTTAATACTTTTTTAAGACGGCATAACTAACGGGACGCTAACAAAAGTTGTTGGCGCTAGCGATTAGCAACTTCTGCAATGCCCCTTGACTTCTTTCCACAGGTAGGAAAACACCGAGTACTTCACCAGATTTTAGCAAATATCGGTTCCATTAGCCTGATTATAGCAATGGATAAAACTGTGGAGGCAACACTACTACGCCGGTTAGAAGAGAGTTTATAGAAAAGACCAAGTGCTACCAGAATTTTAATTGCAATTTCAAAGAGGCTACTCAACGACGTAACAACTTATGAGGTTTGTTGAGGGGGCAGCTCAGGACTTCAATTTAAAAAAATCCACGTTTTCCTCTTTTTGGATGTATAATGACCTTTGACCGTGTATGGTCATGCCTCCTACGCAAACATTGTTTTAAGCGGACGCACCGCTTGAGTAAGAATTGCCATCCAAGGGAATAATAGTAGGGAACAATAATACTATAAACCACGTTTTAAGCTAAAGCTTATTGCCCTATTAGACTACTCTTACTCCCGGGAAACCGCGCAGGTTGTGCTTCTTTTAAGGTTGCAAATTTTTTTTGATGATAAAAGCCTCATTCCAGCCTACCTGTTTGGTTTCAAAGAAGTCACTCTACCAGTCAACAAATCTTAACGTTGGTAAAAAAACAAAACTAATACCCTTAACTACCAAAAATATGTTATGGTTTTGTGACACAGAAAATGTCGACTAGGTACAACAAAAAGGTCTCATACATAAAATGATCAAAGGCGCAATATTCGCATACTTGATACGAATTATTTAGTCATACCTCAGCCATAGATCCTCCAACCTCGTCCTTGTAAGAACAGAATTATCGGAATCCAACTTACTTAGTGCTGGTGCCCCTAGGTCCTTATTGTCTCCTATTTTATTCTCATTGCACATGCCTGCCATTATCTCTTTTTTTATATTTCCCCTTAATTAGACTAATCAAGTTAACACCTCGGTGTTATATAACATTAATTGGAAGGCCCACATTAAATATTTAGTTAAAAAAATTAAAAACACGACACAAACGCTTCAAAAAATGAGTTATGAATCAGTAACTTGAACCTATTCCTCGACCTCCAACATAGAAAAACTGCAATATATGCAAGATAACTTTTTTAACAATGTTTTTATAGGAGGGCCTTGGTATATAAGACTCTCACAATTACATCGTGAATGCGAATTGGAACCATTGTGAAGTTTACTAAGCACTTAGCTGAGAATTACCTCAGGGCGTCTGAAGCTCATTGTAACGGATTATTAGCTAATACCCTACATAATCACCCCTTCCATCTTCCCAAGTATAGACGACCGCCTTTCTATGTTAGATAATAACTTGAAATGCAAGATTTTTAGTTAAAATAATACAATAATTCCGATCATAGTGGCAAACAAACAATAGTATTATTAATTAGTAATAATAATAATATAGTATTAATCAAATAATAAAAGCAATAGAAATTATGATATAAAAAGTCAGTAAAGGCATTACTCAAAAGATCTAAATTTTTTTTTAAGGTAACTATCCATTCAGGTAGTTTCATTTTTGCTTAGACAGTTTTTGCAGGAATAAAACTTCCCCCATCCCTAATCCGAACCCTCTCACTTGGGACAATGTGGATTAAACAGCTTAACCCCTTATAGATTACTGGTTACTATATTTACCACTTGTCGCCTAGGTTCAATTTGCAAGAGCAGGTTTATGGAAGTTGGCCCTAAAAGGACAGACTCGTTCTCTGAAACAATCCCAATCTCTGGAAAGTTTGAGTGCCATGTTCTAACGGATTAGGCAGCAACCAAAAAAATAAAAAAGTGGTAAATTCAGTTACCACGGAACGTAAAAAAATCTTTTTTAAGCCCCAGAGTTTTGCCCGTTAAAGGGCTAAGTTATATCCGCCTCAAACCACTGTAGCATGCCAGTGCAATAAATTAAATAAAATAACAAAAAAAAAAATGATTGTAATTTTTTTTCCTCCTCCTCTCTGCTCTTTGTGTGCTTTTTTGAAACCTCCACACACCTACGTATATTATAAATGTATATAAGATAATGATGAGTTGAATTGCGGAATACTGAACACGAACCACGCAAAGTAATTAGGTTATCAGCAAAACTAAGCACCCCGCGCTCGATTTTATTATGCATACGCTATTTTATTATAATAACAATGATTATAAAAAAATTCATTTGTGAATATTATATTTTTTATTATTCCTGACGTTATTATTATTACTAAGTCATTTCCACTTATAATTAGAAAATAACTTTATCTTTGAAAAAAAATATACAATAGGAATATTCCACTGATTTTTTTCCCTTTTTTATTCCGTTTACTTTCTTTTCTTAAAAATAACTTAAAATTTTTTAAAAACACCGTACTTATAATTAACTGAAATATTAGAATTTTAAAAGGTGTTAAAGATCATTTTAACTTAATAATTCACTACAGCAGTTATTAAGTTGGCATTTTTATTTATTTTAAAAAAAATTAGTAAAATTTAAATTTACATTTGAAATTTCTGGTCAAGTTAAAGATTCGTATATACTTACCGAAGTCATAATCTTAAGAAATTTATAAAATCAAATAAAAAGAAAAATTATTTTTTTAGTCCTAATTAACAAATTTAAGTAACAAACATTTACGAATAATATAATAAGTAATTATATTTTATAAATTTCAATGAAAGATTGGTTATCAATTTTTTTTATTACTATTTTTATTGATAATACTTATTTAATATTATTTATGATACAGCTGTGTAGATTAAGTAACTATTTAAGAATGTCCCGCTTTAAAAAAGTGAATTGCTTAGACTATTGAAGCCTACTTTAGGAAATTTTTTTAAAATAATTTTTTTTTCAATCGTAGTTTGTGGTGTGTAATTCTTTTTCAATGTTAAATGTTAAAGAGTAATTTTAATGACTCGTTCATAATATTAATGTTTTTATTTCATTTTTAATAATTTCTCTATTGTTACTTTAGTTTAGAATTAATTAAAAAAACCCGAAAACCTTCTCCAACCAAAAAAAAAGTGCGTAAACCAAAATAATTAAAAAAAGAAAAGCAATATATATTTTATTGAAACTATTTTAATAAATCCTTTTTAGTATTAGAGATAAAAATTAAAAGTTCGCCTTATAATTTTTTGGAAGCAACTTTTGCTTTTTAGAAGCCACGTTTAAGGATTGGGTGCTTTTGTATTTACTGATTCACTGGTTTCTCATCTATATAAAAAAACTCAAGTCAACTTTCATAGTAAAAAAAACAAAAGTTAACTGGAGTTTATCATTTTTTGAGAAAATATCGACGAGCTAAACAGCTTACTTTCACTAGTTTTGCTTTTACTTAAACTGTGTTTATATATAAAATTTTAATTTAAAATTTAAAAGATTTGAGATATCACGATAGCAACTTTTCTTCAGCAAGACGAGATGCATTGGTCTTGACAAAAGTAATTTTACTCTTTATAGTTACCGAGTGTAAAAGTGCCTCCCAATCCCACCTCTCTATTAAAGTTGAATAAAGAAATATAAAGTTTATAAATAGTTACAATATTAATAGAAATTCTAAAACATTTCCTAAAGTTGGATGTAGCTATGTTTTCTGATAACTAATAAATTAATATATTTAGTTAGTAAACATTAATCTTTTAAATCATTTTCCTTTAAAAACTTAACCTAATATCAATTTTCATAATAATTTTTTTTTTTAACTAATGGCGTTAAACTCACCAGAAGAATTCTTGAAAGTTACTTCCATGTTTGGTTTACCGGTTAAAAATACCAACAAAAGCGAGCAAGAGCTCTTCTTAAAGGACAAAGGAGTTACAGTAAAAGTCGAAGCAATCAGTTTTATTTTTAATCTAGGAAAAATTGAAGAAAAGTAAAAGTAAATATATTGCAAATAATACTTAGTTTATTATAAAATGATATTAAAAAAAAGTAAAAAGTTAAATAAGATATTCTACATATATAAATAATAAATAAAATAAAATGAGGGTTAAAAAAATAACAAAGCAAACAAGCAACCAGAGTTTGAAAAAGTTACTAATCTTCCAATAATTAAAGATAATAGGCAGTTTTCGTACAAAAACCGAAGATAAATTTTAAAAAGAGTTTGCTACTTTAAATGAAGTTGTTGAATACTCTAAAGGTTTTTATTAAAAATAATTAACGCTTTATCCCAAGGCAATCTCTAGATACTTTAAAATCACACCTTAAAAGAATTGTTAAAGTAAACATAGAACTTAACTTTTTATAATTTTTTCTTTTATAAAACTTTTTAATTTAAAAAGAGGACCGGCTAACAGTTATAATTATTCTTAAACAATACTACGCTACACAGGAAAATATTATGAAATTTTTATAAAATTAAATCTTTCTTAAAAGTCTAATAACTTAAGAATTATGTCTCTCAAAGTTAGGAAGATTTTAACATAAACTGCTAGTAAATAAAATTCAGTTACAATTTTACACTAATGCTTGAAATTTTAAAGAATATTATTAGGTTAACGGTATACTAAAGGCCATAAAGATTTTCGGATCAGTAAATAAATATATCCTAAAAAGACTGAGTCAAGAGAATTCCTTTAGCATTTTTTTTAACTTAATTACGTAAACAATTTTTTTTAAACCTATTTATAATATAACAACGATGGAATGACTTTACTTTCTATCAAAATGTATAGTTGTGATAAAGTTAAAAATTTATTTCTTGTAAGTGATGTTCAATGATCGCTCGCTAAAAAATTGAAACAAAGTAAATGTAGAAATTCTACTACCTAATTTTTAAATAATAATTTCTTATAAAATTTTGTTGCCGTTCCTAACCCTTAACCTAACCTTAACCCAAAATTTCCTATGTAGCGCTATTTATGAAAAGTTTTGTACTTTATAGCGTACCTTTAAGTGAACTATAAATCAAATTTCCAGGAATTAAAGTACGGAGAAATTATTAATATTGGTGAATTCGCATAGTCATGGCCTAACTATTTTTTTTAACTCACTGATATTTCTAAGAGGAGGTAGGCACGCTTCTAATAATAATTAAATTTACATAAAAAGTAAAGCGCGATGAAGGCTAAATAAGTTGTTCCCTTTCTTCAAGTAAATTAATTTTAAATGTCTTGTGATTATTAGATCTTCTTTTAAATAATTTACATAGAATGTTACACAATTTTAAATTTACTGATAATTATTATAACCTACGAAAAAAGTTGTTAATAAAGTTTGTAATTTATTTAAGCAAAAGTACCTTCTGTTTCTATCAGGCCTTGCCATTAACAAAACATCGCTGAAAAGTGAGAGATGTAGATCATTATTTTTATATTTGCATAATCCCTTAGTATAAAGCAGTTAATATTTAAATAAATAGTAAAAAAAAGCAAGTAATATATTATTCTTTAATTTAATAAAAAATTTAAACTTTCTTGCTTATAATACAGCATTTCTTTACAGAAAAACCAACCCGTTTGCAAATTATTACATACTAAAACCATCTTTGAAGAAGATAATTTAAAAGTCTCACTAAGCAACATGAAAGACTTTTCAAGAAATATTAAAGTTTTAGTGAATAAAAAACGTTTACTTTGATATAATAATCTTAAACTATTTAGTGCGCGTAGAGAAAAAGAAGTGTTCTACGTAATAGAAAAATGAAAATTATATCATTGCCTGCGGTACAACGGGATTTTCTTTCAAAATATTAATATATTTATTTTTTTAATATTATATACTTTTCACTTTCAGGAAAATTCGCTTAAAACATAATCGAGTTTTAATATTTAAATAAATTTTATATTTTCTTAAAAACTAAATTTCAATCACTTACTTAAGTCTCGCTAACTGTCCAAGTCAAACCTTTGCATGTTTTTAAGGTTATTAAAGTATTTTGAAACCATAAATAAAGTATTTTAAAAAATAATAATTTCCTGATTTTATTTTGAAATAATTTTAAGCTGTATTTAATATTATTTGTTTGTTTGTTATTTATCATTATACTAGTAAATATTAATTATTATTACTTATTGGTTATGCTTTTTTATGTTTTTGTATTTCGTAATATTATTATTTTGACTGATGTATTATTATTATTACTATTTGTTTGTTATACTTTTCAATTTAAAATCTTACGTATATCAAGATTCTTAATTATTATACTATTGTTATTTTTGTTTGTTATTAATTATTTAGTTAGTTAGATTTATTATTATTTATATAATATATCTTTTATTATATTTGAAATTTTATTTATCAGGGAGACTATTTTTAATTATAACTTTGATATAATTAGATTGTTATTTATAAATGTTCTCTATTATTTCTTATTTTTAATAGCTATTTATCATTTTATCTAAAACTTAATTAGTTATTATTTGTAATTATATTATTATTTGTTTGTTATTTGATAATTTTATTTGAAATTTTAATATTATATTATTTTTTTATTTTTATTTAATTTAAATTTTAATATTGCTATTATTTTTTTAAAAATATTTATTATTTGTAAGTTATTTATTATTATTCTTAAATTATTTGTTGATTATTTTAACCATTTTTCTGTTAAAATTTTATTAATTATTATATTATTGTTTTATTTCTTACTTATAATTTTATAGTGCTATTATAATCCTTAAAAAATTATTATTTGTATATTTTTATATTATTTAAAATATGATTATGTTAAATATTTATTGTTGTGTTTTTAATTTTATTTATTATTATTTTTTAGTTATTTAATATTATTTTATTTGTGGCTATTATTATCCTTTAATAATAATTATTATTAATTTATATATAATTTTTATAATATATGAAATTTATTTGTTATTATTCTTAAGGATTGCATTACAAATATTTTGTTAATTATTAATCATTTTATTTAAAATTTTATTTAGTATTTCTAATAGTTTTATTTTTTATTTTAAAATCTTTTTATAATCAATATTATTCTTAATTATATTATTATTTTCTTTAAAATTTACTTTTATTATATTTATTCTTAAATATATATTTTTATTATTTATTTGTAAGTTAATAATTATTTTATTAAAAATTTTATTTATTATTAATACTATTAGATATTTATTATTATTTATATAATATTTTGTTTAAATTTAGAATCTATTATCATTTTTAAGTATTTTATTATTATTATTGATTTATAAGTTTGTTTATAATTTTATTAAAAATCTTAAAAATGGAGATCTTTACTATTGTTTCACACTTCTCTTAATTTCCTAATTAATCAGTGCAGAAATGTAAATTATTTTTATTTTTATAACTTTTTTTAATTTTCTTATTTGTTTTATATAAATTAATTCATAATAAAAACTCGTATTCAAATAAGTCCTCTGCTTGTTAATAAAATTTACTTTAAAAAAGTATAATTTCTAATTTCTAATAAAAAAATTCTTTAATAATTAGAAGCAAATTAAGTTTGAAAATTGTAGATTTTAAAAATTACCTGCTTATAAAATTGTCTACTTTCTTTAAACAACTGCACTTGACTATTGTCTTCAGTAACGTATTTGTCTTCAAGCTCAACAACTTCCATCATTTCATTCTAATCAAAAAAGGAAAAAAATCAATAGTTTATATATATAAATTGAATTTTATAAAAAAAAGTTTACAATAAAATAAATTTAGAAAAAAAATTTAATTATAACTTTATCGTAAATCAAAAGTACTTCAACTTTATTAATTTAATAGAATTAAAAAATAAACCGTTAAATATTTAAATTTAAAAAAGTATGGAAGTGGAAATTGATTAACTTTAGTATAATGTATAAATAATATAAACAGATTAAGGTTAGGGTGGGAGTTTAGGGTAAAAATAACATTTCTTCTTATATGAAAATGTTATTAGATTGTAAATTTAATTATAAAAAAGTTGAAAGTTTACTAAAAAAAGAATATAATTATAAAATTAAAATTTTATTAATAATAAGTTATTTTATTATAATAAAATAAAACTTTTACATGAAGAAATTTAGAAATTTAATTATTTTAAAATCTTTCGAGGCAAAAAATTTCAATTAAAAAAACAAATTTATCGAAAAATTTTATAAAAGCATTTATTTAACTATAATAAAATAAAACTTTTAAATAAAAAAATTTTAAAAAATTTAAATTAAAATCCTCGAGGCGAAAAATTTTAATTAAAAACGATTTTATTAAATTAAAAAAGTTTAAAGTATTTATTTATTTATATAAATTTAAAAAAAAAACAAACGAATTTATTAAATTAAAATGTTTATAATAGCATTTATTTATTTGTAACAAAATAAAACTTTAAATATTAAAAAAATTTAAAAATTTAATTAAAATAAAATCTTTCGAGTCAAAAATTTCAGATATAAAATACGAATTCTTAAAAAAATAAAAATGTTTATAATAATTTCATTTATTTACAATAAAATAAAACTTCTAAATTAAAAAAAAATTTAAATTAAAATCTTTTGGGTCAAAATTTTCGAATAAAGAAAAATAACGAACATATTTTTTTACATCTTCATTCACTTTTTTACATATTTCGTTAATAACGACGAGAATCTTTTGTAAATTTTCATAATCGGGATCATCTGGAGGAGTGTACTTAACAAGCTGCTTAAGTAATAAACTATATCTTGGAATTCTCTAAAAAAAAATAGAAATGAGATGAAAAAAAGGTGAATAAAAATAATAGCAAAGATTAAAGATTTTTTTTAAAAAAAAGAAAAATTGAATTAAAATCTATATATTAATAAATTTTAGGAAATAAATTCAAACAAAAAAGTGATAAAAATATTATTTAAAATTTGATTATAAAAATGAAATTAAAAAAGGTACTGATAAGAATAAAAATTAGTGCAAAAATTGAAGAAATTAAGTTAGTATTAAAATTTATTAATTTAATTTATAATAAAAATAAATAAAATATGATTAACAAGATTTAATTCAATTAATTAGTTCAGTACTTATAAATTTATAAAATAGTGCAGAAAGTAAAATATTGTAATTAGTATTAAAAAGTATAAATTTAACTTATAATAGTATATGGATTAAATTTTTAAAATTATAAATTTTTGTAACCAAATAAATTTCAAACAAACGATAAATAAATTAAAATTAACAAGATTTGATTTTAAAACATTAAAAAATTGAGCAAAAAAATGCAAGAAAATTAGCGTCATAAAATAAATTTAAGGTATAAAAGTGAAATAAACTGATTAAAACTTTATTATGTATAAATAAATTGATATTAAAAAAATTAAATTATGACTTACGTTTTTGTAATAGAATTAAAATAAAATAGTCCGTGAAATAAAATTTTAATAAAAAAATTTAGTATATGTAAATGCAATAAGTTTAAAAAAAAATAAGTAAACTAGATTGGAATATAAAATAAAAATAACTTAGTACTTATGGAGTGGAAAAATTAAGATCGAAAAAGTATCGCCTGAACCATTAAATTAATTAACGAACTAAAAGTAAAAGAAACTTAATTTTTAAATAAATAAAATTCAATAGAATATTGATTGTTATAATTAACAAAATTTGGTTATATAATAAACTCAATACTTGTAAAATTAAAAGTTAAAGAATAAAGGGGTATCGATAAGTAATCTTTAAATGAATAAATTTTAAATAACATTTTGTATATATAAAGAAAATAAAATAAACAAATAATGATTAAAATATAACTTACAAGATTTTATATAATTAAATTGAATCAGTATTTAAAATTGCTAGTCAGCAAGAAATTAGTAATAAAGTTAAAGAAAAGTATTAATTTATTTTTAATAATCTTAATTTTTATAAACAAAAAAATTACTAAAAAAATTAGCGTTAGAGGAAATTTATTTTTAAAAGATATAAGAAAGCCGATTATAAATTGAAAATTTTATTTATTTTATCTAATATTTTTCTTTAAATAGTAGCGGATTTTTTTGTCCGCATTAAAAGCCTGGAATCAAATGATTTTAAAAATTTTAACAAAAATAAGTTATAAAAAAACCTGAACGGGAAGTAAAACGAGCGAATCGAGTTTTTGCCTCTCCACTAATTCATCATTTTCAGCCTTTTCTACAAACTCGTTAAATTTTGGCGAAGTTCGCCTCAATAGGAGTACCTTCAGATTTTTATTAAAAGCTTTAGGAAATTTGCTTTATTATTTTATATAAAAATTTAAATATTTTTTCAAAAAAATCAAAAATTAAATGTAAAATTAAAAAAAAAGGTAGAATACAAATAATATCTTTAAATGTAAATAATAAAAAATTATCTAAAAATATATAGAATAAACTTATAAAATTTAATATACAAGAAAAAAATACACAAAATTTTTTCTTTTTAAAAAATTTTATAAAAAAGTAAACACCTTTTTCTTGGATGTTTCAAAAGTACGACTATAGTTACCGTAAATTCTTGCAAAAAAGGGGGAAAGTTTTTGAAAACATTCAAGTGTATTAGAAGAAGAGCTTTCAAGTTTTTTTAAAAATTCTAAATTAAAAAAATTAGAGTATGTATTTTATATAATAATAACAAAAATCTAAAGGAGGACCCTTATTAACTACAAGGAGTTCTCCTAAAGATCCAAAAATAAGATTTAAATCGTTAAGAGAAATAAGAGGTTTTTCTGAATCGATGCTTTCTTTTAATGGTTTGTAAAAAACCTTTTTTTATAAAGAAGAAATAAAAATATTTATTTGCTTAAAGCAAAAACGTAATTAAATTAGACCTCATTCAGAATTGTTAGGCCGTGAACATACTTTTTTTCTGTATCAACTAATTCTTGAAACACTCGGTGTCTCTTTTTAGCTAATGATTTTCTTATTTCCCTTAAAAATAATAATTTAACTTATAATATTGTTCATGGCAACTTATATTTACAACTTTGAGAAACAAATAATATTAAGGGAAAAATAGTTTTTTCCATCCAGTTTTATCAATTTAGATTTATGCTGCACAGGCTAAGATCGATAACTATTTTCTATACAAGTATTAACATACTTTTTATTTTATTTTATATTATATAAAAAACAATAAAAAAATATACTATACTCGGAAAGTTCTTGCTGAGCGATGGACATTTACTGCGGGCATCAGCAAGAAGCAATATAGAAAAAGTATCACCAATTAAAAAAATCTATCTAAACGTTTATTTTTGGTAATTTTTGGTTTCCTGTTTACTGCTCGCGATTATCAGGAGCGTGAGCACTTGCTAAAGCTACTTTGGCTAGTAGGCCACGCTACTTATTATCTTAAAGAAAAAAATATATATTTTAGAAAACCTAATTTTTCTATTTTATTTAGTTTTTAATATAAGAATTTAAATTTTTTTTATTCAAAAATTATTGAAAAGATTTATTAGTTACAATTAAATTAATTAATTTTTTTTAATATTTTAAAATGTTACTTATAACTTTTTTATTTAAAAAATAGTTGTGAAGGTTTATTATCATTTTTAAAATATTTAAAATATTTATACTATTCGGCCTCCACTTTCTCGTGCGCAATAATTATTTATAATTTCTAAAGTTAAAGCTTTTGGCAGAGTTGTAAACCTTTAAATATTACCAATTAAAAAAGCTATTGGAACTTAAAATATAAAAATAACAGTATTTTTATACTTAGTATATATTTTAATTAATTGTTCAAAATTTTAAAATAAATTATAGCAAAGATGAACAGTCCCAGTTAAGTAAGCTTTTGATTTTATAGCTGTATGTGGTAAGTGTTATTTATATCCGTTTTCTAATTTTTTACAAGGAATTCCACCTTTTACAAAAAAATATCTAAGGTTTGAATAAAAATTAATAAAGCAAGTAAATTCTATTTAAACTGGAACTAAAAAATTTTTTAAAAACTCTAAAAATTTTACTTTACAAATTAAGCTAAGTACATATAAGTTGAAGTATTTGGAGCAACAGAATTAGAAAAAAAAATAGTTTAAAATACATTAAATTACTTTAGGACCTGCTTACAAATTAGTAAAATTACGGACTTCCATGACGGTTGTTTCGATCTTATGGAACCAAAAAGAGATTAATAGTTTAGTGCGTAGGCGAGGGCTTAACCTCGGGGACTAATAGTTGTATATATGAAAGGACCTGCCACCGCGAAAGAACTGATCAGCGTTATTAGTAAAACTCAACTTCTTCCAGCGTTTCATTCAATCTCTGCAACTTTTCGACGTAGCGTCCAGACTGCCTTGATAGGAACGGCGAAGGTTGCAGCTATTTTTGGTCAGACCAAACAATCAATACAGTGTGATATCTTTACCAGACCTGCAAAGCATTGAGGCGGTTGAAGTTTCTCTCCACTTAACCAGCCAGGGGTCCATGTCGGTAACTGCAACTTACAAGCCCCCCAGCAGGCCACTTATTATTTCAGATTTTGATGCCCTTTTTAAAAATTGATCCTTAGCTGTTGTATGTGGGGCCTTAGCTGCAAGCATCCCGCCTGTAATACCCTTGTTGATAATCCAAACGGCGGAATCCTCGACACTGACGAGCGTGGACTACGCGTGTTAGAACCATAGTACCCAACGCACATGGAGAAGACAGGAATATCAGACGTCTGAATATCGCCGTTTTGAAAAATATTTATATTTCAACGGCATTTGAAGCTCTTTAAGAACTCTCGTCGGACTATCCGCCAGCTCTGCTTGATTTGGGCGAAAAAAAGTAGTTACCGAGGATGTACACCAGAACTTTTTCAGACAGGACTCAATTCTCCGAGGCTCTTGAAATAACCTTTCCAACATCTTCCGCCTTATTCAGGGCACCCGCCTGCTGTTGCTGAATTCGAGGGAGCTTTGAGCATGCAGTACCATACTGCCACGTCAACACGTGAAGTTGAGTCCCACCCTAACCGCTTGCCTAAGGAATTGAAGACCCTTACCTGCGAGTGGTGACGCCTTATTCGAGTAGCCACGGTGTCACTTACACCGGCGCATAAAGAAAGAGCTGTTGCACACTATAGCCGATTGTGGGAGAAAAGTTAATTGTATATGGGATGAGAACGATAACGGTCGTGTTTCTTTTTAGAAGTTAATTAAAAAAAAAAACCGAGCACATTAACCATTACCTTCCATGGGAGACGGCAATTTTGGGGCGGAAAATGTTGCTGACAAAGCGACACTTTTTTGCCGATTATCTTTCTCAGTGTGTGCCACCTGCTTATTTAGTTACTGATGAAGTGCTGGGTGGATCAAACTTCCTTGCTGATGGCGTGGAAAAAGCTTGAGCCAATCATCATAGTCAAAATCGTAGAGATTATCATCGTCTTTTACCTAGACGAAAGGCCCGTGGCCCCGACGGTATCATCAACATTATTAAAGTAATTACCTATGGTGGTGGCAGAACGCCTATTCTGCTTCATCAACTCTACGATGGCTCTCGGCTTCTTCTCGCTACGCTGGAAGACGGCAACTACTGTGATGTCTCCGAAGACAAAACGGCCTGCATCTACGCCAAGCAAATACAGACCTTGTAGCCTCTTGTCAGCCTTTAACAAAGTAGCTGAGGCGGCCATACTGCCGCTTGAAGGCATTTGTTGATACGAGTCACGCCCTGCCAGAGTTCCATTTTGGATTTCGACAAGGACACTCCACGATTCCGCAACTCCTTCGCTTGACGGAGTGGACGACCCCTGCCTTCAAGTTAAAGAAGGCAACGGGAGCCGTTTTTCTTGATATCGAAAAAGCGTTTGACCGAGTTTGCCACATGGGCTTGCTTCACAGATTGCGCAGCATAGCCCTTCCTACTATTTTTTTTAACGTGATCAAAGCTCACCCCTAAGCCCACTAACACCAGGTGCCCCAAAGGATCTCTCTTGTCACCTCTACTCTTTGCACTTTATGTAGGCGATATGCCACAGCCTGACGACTTCCACCTGCGGACTGCCTTATATGCTGATAACCCAGCGATTTACTCCTCGTCAAAGACACCTGTCCATTGCGCCAGCATCTGCACTATACCACTACTGCCGCTAACTTTTGAAATTAAGGTAATTCCTTGGTGTCCTGGGGTGAAATATTTTGGGTCATTATCGACAATAAGCTCTTGTAGCGGCTGCATGTAAACTATATCGCTGCGAAGGTCAAGGCGGCGATTTATTTCAGACTTTTTACCCTTTACTTTGTGCCCGTAACAAATTGTGGCTGCACAATAAAGGATGCTTGTCTCTGTTGTGCATCCGACCCATCATGACATACGCGTCTATTGTCTGGGCCTATGGCTCACCGGCTCACCGGCTATAATCTCGCTTCAACTGAGACAAAACGAGCTGTTACGCCTTATGACGGGCGCGCCGTAGTTTGTTCGCGACGATGCCTTACATCAAGACCTTCGAATTGAGCCTCTGGATAACGTTTTTTCGATGCAAATGCTAACTCCACTTACGATCGGCTCAATCAGCACACCAATCGATTACTAACAGATGAGGTCAACTAGGAAATCCTGGTCGGCGCACGCTATTGCTGGCCGCGCAATGGGCTTTAAATATATAGTATTGGACAGGGGTAGAATTATTTTAATAATACATATATATAAGATCGCTTTAACACAAGCTTAAAGCTAATGTGCACGCTATCACCCTGTTGAGAGCTCGTAAATTCAGTGTTTCCCTTTACGACCCGATCGAATACCAGGAAACATCATTAATATAAATAAATGAAATGGCCCGAGCACGCTATTCCTTTTTTCTTTGAATTGTGGTTTTGGCTGTATGAGGTGCTTCCTGGGAGTCTTTAAATTAATCAAATAAATTATTACCTTGTTGAATCTTTAATAACACTATATTACAATATCCTATATAATATACAATCTACTATACTATATATCTAATAGTTTATACATATACCAAATTTAAAGATTTAATACCGATAAAAACAACAAAAGCGAAAAATAAAGAAGTATTAATGTAATTTGTAAACACTTTTATTATAGATTGGATTGTGTAGTATAAACTTGTAAGAAGTGCTTCTACACCGGCAAGCGTAAATTAATTCCGTAAATAGAGATAATTGAGAGTTTGTTTATAAGAAAATTGGTCACTTTGACAGGAAGATGAAAGAAGTTTGGGTAAGATTAGAATTGAATATTTATTTCATTAACATATAATATTGTAACATATAGTGATAACATAAATAAACAAATATAATGATAATAGTTATTTTAATATAAAAATAATCTTGGAAAAATCTATAGATAGAAGGATAAAAGTTCAGATACGTAAACCATCATACCGGAATCGAGAGTTGTCGTCGTAGCTGAGAGGTTAAGAGAATTGATGCGCATACTCAAGATTGTGGGTTCCAGTCCCACCGGCGCGATCTCTTTTTCGCTCTTTGATGACCGGGTATTTAACCTCGCCCTCATATATTCTACTACAGGATGATGACTTGATCAAAATAAAAAATTAAGGTAGTAGTTAGGAAAAGTATGAAAGGTCTATAAAGAATTTGGAATTGTGATATGTCAAACTATAAGTTCTCATTATCAATAAAGATTTATGAAAACTAATAAGATTCTCTTTTTTTAACTTTTTAGTTTAAAAGTATATATTTTACTAATAAAGTTTTTTGTATTTTTTTATTATATATTATACGTGCCTTAAACATAAAGGGTCAAAAAGAATATTACTAATAAAAAAGGTTATTTTAACATTATAAATTAAAAAAACAAGCTGAGTATTAAACTATTATATTGTTTAACGCTTTACACGATTAATATACCCGAAAAGATATAAAGCTTCAAACAATTTTCATTTTAATAAAAAAAAAAAAGACAATAAAATTTTAACTACTAACAACATAGAAAAAATTAATATATTGCGAGTTATAAAATGCAGGCTAAAGACGGTAGTTTCTTTTCGGTTGCACGTTGAAAACAGTAAATAATATCATTCACAATTCAGTTAAATGATACAAGATAATTTAATTTCACTTTACTAAGAAATTCTTTAATACATTGCACTATCGTTTAAAATTGTTTCTGTTTTTAAATTGTTTCGTAATAATTCTATAAAGCTTTATTAAATAATTGGTACCATGGATCCCTTATATATTTATAAGATTCATTTAATGTAGTTCATATTTTTTAAAGTTTAAGTCTCAATTAAAACGGTTTTGCACGTGGCCCCCCTTCTCGTAAAATTGTTTCAATCTTTGTACAAAATTTTAACGGTTATTCTAACGTAGAGGAGCTTTTTAAAGCGGTTGAATGTCTATAAAGAATAGCTTTTATAGAGACCTTATCTAATAATACGTAAACTTAGAGCCGATAAAGAAAATGACGTAAAATGCTTTTTAGGACAAGGCAGGCAGGCCTTATTCCGAGTTCGCTCGGGAATGTGGTGTCAACCAAATTAAGATCAATTACAAACAAATTGTAGTTAGACATAGAAGTTTATTGTGTATAAAATTTAAAGTTAGCCATTATGTTATTCAAAAGTTGTCCTATATTAAATGAAAAAAGCAAAACATTGAAATAATTTTAAATGATAGTGTATAAGCTATGTTACAGCTCGGATTCATAATATGGAGAGGAGGCTCCCTTTGGTGCGCGTCTGATCTGTTATTTAGCCGACTGTGGGTCTATTCTTTGCTGGTTTGTATATATGTACTCATTATTATTTTATAAATAAATTTTATACTTTCTATTACTCTACGAATTAATAATACAGCCAAGTAAAAAAAGTCTGGTAAGGGCATGCGCTCACACACTGGTGTAATACTTTAAATAACTTCATTATTAAATCTGAATCTTTTAAAGTAGACCTGCATTGGGAACTGTTAAAGTTTGGATTTAAAAAAATCTACGTCAAATATATTAGAAAAATAACAGGGTTAAAATATAATAATATTAGACGGTTTGAACTTATTGAGAAAAAATGTTTTACAATCGCTGAGAGGTAAGTGCTTACATGAGGGGAAAATAAGTTGGATTTTTAATGGTTAGCGGTTTGATTAATGATTATAACTACTCAATTCGTTTAATGAAAAAGAAATTTGCATAAGTGTATTTTATATTAAAGATAAGATTGACCAGCAAATAAATGCGAAGAATTATTTAATATTCTTTAAATAGTTTTTAAAAAGAAAGAAAAAGATATTGTAATGCGGAACGAGTTGGTTGATCACTGTAGTTGTAGGTAAAATGTAGCCTTATTTTATGCTTCTTAAATATTAATTTGTTTAATAAAAACTTGCGTGGTACAGCTTTACAGTTTTTCTTTCTTGCCTTTAGAATTCTCGCTGGACTAGCAAAATTAATATAATTTAAGTGATAAATAATATTTATTACATTTCAGTCAATAAGTTTGGGAATATCTGTGCATAAACTTAGCACATTTACAAAATGTTTTCTTGGATGTTATCCCCGGTGAATAACGAAAATATTTATCCCATTGTGTGCTATTGTAATGGAGCAGATATATTATTTTAAAGATTTTTATTACACTTTATTCAGTCTTTTGCTTGTTAGTATTAATATAAAGGACATACATGACCTTAATCTTTCTTTTACATCACTACAATTGTAAAGTTATAAATCGCGTTAACAGAGAGGCTGTGGATATTGTTTGCAACTAGTAAATAGAAGTGATGTAGTAAAGTAAGTAAAAATTTAGTTATGAGAATGCGGAAAGAGTAGCTTTTTTAAGTTCACTACTTTCCAATATATAAAATATATCTATTTCTGTTCAAATACAAATTTTTGAATATTCTGCATTCTTTTTCATTTATCTGTATATATATTTTAAAAAGATTTTCACTATGGCCGACCTTACAGGGCATAAACTTTTCAAGAGCTATTATATGTTATAAAATTAGTAAAGCAATACAAATTGTAATAAAATTAAAGAAATATAATAGAGTTAGTAAAAGCTTAGGGAAAAAAACCGAGCCTGAGTAGCGCAACGCCCTCTACCATCCCTTACCTTGTGGTTATTAATTGATATTGTGCTTCCATAACAATATTAAAAAAATATTTTTTTCAAGTACTATATAGAAAAACTCTGACTCCTTTGAATTTCCTACTGAAGTCTAACAATTATTACAACACCAGAAGAAAAACTTTTAATTCAAGATTTAATAAATTAATGTACAAATTAAATTGCAATATAAAAATAAATTAATTAAATGTTTTTATTAAAATAAAGTATACATTGTTAGATTTGCTTGAATGGCATTAGCACTTAAACTTTTTGCACGTTAATTTAAAATTTATAATCAGTTTTCAAGCTACTAATATAATAGCGATTTTTAGAAATTTATAGATGGCGAGGATAATGATTTTACTCAAAATCGAAGTGATCCGCTCAGATTTTTAATTACTCCCCAAAAAAAAAGCTTTTAAAAAGCATGTGCACATCTTTTTCGAGAATAATTAAAAACTTTAATTTAAAAAATATTTATAATAAAATTTATCCCAATTTTACATTTTTATTACGAAACAAATACTTTGATTTAAAACTTCTTTTAGTAAAAAAAATTTCATTCTTGCACGCAGCAGATTCGTTAGATTGGAGATCTTTAATTTCTGTAAGACCAATTCTTTTTTGTTCATCTTGTAAACTTTTAATAATATAATTGAGTGCAGAAGGGATGCTTTGCGTATTCTGAAGAATCCTGTTTACTTCCTCCATTGGAATTAACGACTAAATAAAAATCATGTGATAATAATAAATAATAAGTAATAGTTATTATACTTTTGAGGTAAAAGACGAATATAAAAAGCAGTTGATTTCGAGATGAGAGAGTAAATTAATTTCTAAGTTGAGCATGCTCTACAAAAAAAATATAAATTAAAAGATGAGTAGATTTACTTTTTTTATTACTAAAAAAAGAAATAAATAATGAAACGCACTTGAAAATTTGGATGTTCAAAAATAGCAGTAATGAAATTATGGCTGTTTCCAGAAATCTCCACCACAAAAAAGTTTTCTCTTGTATTTTTTACAACTAAAAACAAGAATATATAAAAAAATTAAGTAAACTTGAGAAAAGAATAAAAAAATAATAAAAACAATAATATGAAATAAACAAAAATAATAGTAATAATATATAAAAAATGTAATAGAGAAAATAATAATAGTAATAAATAAATATAATAACTCAGTAAATAATAATAATAATATATAAATAAATAGAAGAAAATTTTAAAATAATATCTATATAAATAATAAATAAAAGTAGATTTAAAAATTAATAATAACTAAATAATAACAATAAATAAATATATGTAATCTTGAACAAAATATAAATATTATAACAATAATTAATAAAAATTAGTAATAAAAATTATTAGTAATGAATAAAACAAAGTAATAATATTATATAAATAAGTAAAATAGCTCCAAAAGATGAAAAAGTAGTAAAAATTATAATTCATATTAAAAGCAATCTTGAAATAATAATTCTAAAAATAATAAAAAGGAAAGTAACAATAAAAAAATAAATATATTAATAATAAAAAATAATAAAAATAAAAATAGTAAATATAATAATTCTGATTAATAATTATAATATTAAAATATATATAATAATAATAATAAATAATAAAAATAAAAATAGTAAATATAATAATTCTGATTTATAATTATAATATTAAAAAATATATATATAATAATAATTTTGAAAAATAAATTTATAGAAATATAATAATTTTGAAAATTATTAGTAATAATAAAGTTGATATAACAAATAAATATTAATAAATAAAAATGTAAATATAAAGAAGATATATAAACAAAAATAGTAAATAGAACAATATTAAAATTAATTATAATAACTTAAAAGAGCTAATATAATAATGGCAATAATAAAAAATACTAATAAATTTAATAACAATAATAAATACAATAATTCTAATAATAATAAAATAAAAAAGTAAATATAACAATAATAATATATGATAATAGTCAATAGAATAACAATAACTATAATAATAAATGAATAAAGTAAATTTAATAATAATTATAAATATAATATTTTAATAATGACAGTAATAATGGTAAATATAATTATTCTTATAATTTAATTAATTAATTAAAAATTAAATATTATAACAGTAAATATAATAACCACAATTATAACAATAATAAGTAAATGAGTAAATATAATATAATAATTCTAAGAATGATAGTAATAATAAGTAAAAAAGTAAATATAATAATAATGTATAATATAATAAAGATAATTCTTTTAATAATAATAACAAATATAATAATAATAAATAATAATAGTAGATACCATCATCATTAGAATAACAACTTTTCATTAACGAGTTATACACAATTTGTTTCCGAAGTAACTAAAAAATATAAAATTGGAAATGTATTATATTATTTTTCATATATTTTTTTTATTTTAAGATTTCTTATTATTTTTATATTTTCATTACAAAAAGTTTTATTTTTTTTTATTAAAATAGTATATATTTTTTAATACTTATTTATATTTTTGAAGGTAGTTATTTACAATTTTATATTAAAAAAGGTTTTTTTTTTATATTTTTTATGTTATTATTACATTTTCATATACATATATTTTTTTAATATAATTTTTATATAAACAAAATATATATATAAAAACGTTTAAAAGCGGAAGCAAAAATGTGATATCATCGAAAAGAAAATGCTCAAAAAGTACAGCAGAAATGGCGTTTTTACTAATATAAAAGCGGAACTCAATTCCCTTTTAGAAAAGTTTAAAAAGTATTAAGTATTTTTCCTATAAAAAATTATAATTTATTGAATATATTCATAAAAATATATAATAAAGAGTAAAAGAAAATTTTATTATAAATATATTAATCGTAATGATAAATATATAATAGAGAAGTTAAACTGGTTATTATATATAAATATATATGATAAAATAGTAACAATGAAAGTATTAAGGTACTTTTAATTATAATAATAAAAAAATATATAATAAAGCAGTAACAAAGAAACTATCAGGTATTTATAATAATGATCAATACATAATGAAGTGGTGATAAAAAAAACTATATATTTAAAAGATATAATAGTAAATATATAAATATATATAATAAAGTAGTAAAATAGATTTGTATATATAATACTTATAAATAATAAAATAAATGTATAATGAAGTAGTAATAAATAATACAATTTAATTTTTATAAATGACAAGAAATATATATAATAAAGTAGTAAAAAAAACTTTTATATAAAAATACTAATAAATAAATTAAAGTAGTAATCAGAAAACTATTTTTTTATAATAATAAGAATAAATATATAAGAAAGTGGTAATAAAAAAATTATTTATATATAATTATTATTATAAATATATATTTATATAAAAGTAGTTCCAAAGTCTTTTATATAAAATAATTATAAATAACACAATTTATAATGAGTAATAAAAAATGATATTTTTTATATAACAGAAATAAATAAGTTTGATAAAGTAATGAAAAATTACTTTAATAAAAAAATATAACTAACTAAAAATAATGAAAATATACTTTCCTATACTTTTAATAAAATAAAACTAAAAATATATATATTTTTATTTTTAATAAAAATTAAAAATTTAATTTATTGAAAAACATTATATTCTCTTTTTTATTTTTTATTATAAAAATAAATATAAAAATTGTTTTATACAAAATATTTTCTTTATATGCTTTTTCGAAATTAACAATATATTATAGAATATTAAATATTTTTAATATTTTTAATGTAAACGAAACTTTTCATATACGAAAAAATTTAATTCTTTTTAAATATATTTTATAATAAAACGAAAAAAAAAACAAAACGTTATACAAAAAAAATTATTTTTTTAATTGTTGTGATAAAAATTAAAATAAAAATTGTTTTATATAAAATATTTTTCAACACTTTCCAAAAAAGTAATAATAAAAAATAAAAAAAAAAGGTATAGTTAACTTTTAAAAAAATCTTTTTTAAATATATTTAATAATAATAAAAAATAAAATTATTTACAAAATTTAAATAATTTTTAAGATATTCAGTAAAAAATGGAATACTAAAATGTATATATATTTTTAAATATTATAACTTTTTTATTATTATTAATATTTTTAATAAAAAATAGTAAAACCTTTTTTAAATATATAATTTTTTATATACTTTTCTAAAAAAGTTTAAAAGTAAAAAATTGAATAAAAAAAAGGTAACATACCTTTTGAAAAATAATCATTTTTATATTTTTAAAATATACAATAAAAAAAATTTTGTATTATAAAAATATTTTAATATACTTTTTAAGAAATTTATTCCTTTATACATTTAATAATAAAAAGTAAAATTATTTTCTATAATAAAAATAATAAATCTTCTTATATATATATATAATTTTTATATACCTTTCACAAAAAGTATTAATAAATAATAGACTAAAGTATAATATACTTTTTTAAAAAATAATATATATAGTTTTAAAAAAATATAAATAAAATTTTTTAAAAAGATAAGATTGAAATATATAATAAAAATAATATAATGTACTTTTTAAAAAATTATAATCTTTATATTTTAAAAAAAAACTTTCGGTATTTGAAAACTTTTTTTAATATACTTTTTAAAAAATTTTTTTAATATATTTAATGATAAAGAAAAAAAATAATATAATATTTTTATATAATTTTTATAAAATAAAAATCTCTGATATTTTTGATAACAAAAAACAATAATAAATAAAACTTGTTTTATTAATTAAAAACTTTATATAAAATTTTTAAAAATTACAATTTAATAATAAAATAAATAAAACTTTTTATGCAAATAAAATATTTAATAACTTTTTAATTACTTTTTTAATATTTATAATAATAAAAAACAAGAAAAATTTTCATATACATAAAAATATATTTTTTATAGTTTTTATTCGTTTATAAAAAAATACTTATCTAAAATAATAAGAAACTTTTCTAATATTTTTTGTTTATAATAAATAATAAAAAAAACTTTTTATACAAAAAAAATACGTCTAAAGCGCTGTTAAACGCAGACTTTTTTTTTCCAAAAAGAAAGTCCTCAAGAGATACGCCATTGGACGAGTCCTGAATATCAAAACTTTCTCGAACTTTTCATGATATAAATATTTATAGAAAAAGAAATAGAAAACTTCTTTACTGTAAAAAATATAAAAATAATCATAAAAATAATAATAATAGTAAAAATAATAAATACTTATAAATTCTATATAATAATAATTAGTATTTAAAATAATTTTTTTATAATTTTTTACTAGTAATATTATTTTATTTATAACAGTAAACTTTATATAATATTAATATAATAATCAAAAGTAATAAGAGTTTTTAAATGTAATAAAATATTAAATACTATAATAATAATAAGAAAAGATATATAATAATATATAATATAAAAAAGCTACTAAATATTTTAAAAAATAAAAAAAAATTAACTTATAATATTATAGAAAAAGTAAAGAAAAAAGTTATTAATATATTTAAAATAGTAATAATAAATTATAGTATATATTTTATTTTACTTTAGTAAAAATATAATATTTATATTGTTTACTTTAAGATATTAACCAGAAAATAGAAAAAATAATATAATATAGTATTTTATTTTTTTTAATAATACCAATAAAGAAATAGTATTAAAAAAGTCTAAATAACTAGTACATATTAAAATACTTATAAAATATATAAGAAGTATTTATTTTTTTTGTTTATAAAATAAAAATACTCTTTAATATAAAGTAATTTATGAATAACTTGAAAATATTAACCAAGAATAATACAAAGAAAAAAGTATATATAGTAATAAGTTCTTGACTATTACTAATAAAATAATATTAAGATAAAAATTACCAAGGATTAATATATAAAATCAACGTATCCTAAACTATTTTTCTCGTAATAGAATTTATTAATAACAAAAAAAAAATAAAAAAACCAGATAAATATATAATAGTAATATACTACATAATAATAAAATATTGTATATTATTTTTACTAATAAATTATAAATGAAATAAAAAAAAGTAAATAATTTTACAAAAAAATGTAAAAATATATAAATAAAAGTATTCTATAATATTCTTCTTGCTTAAAAATTAAAATATTATATAATATAAAATAAAACTATTAAATTTATAATAATAAAGAAAAAAATATATATTGTTATTAATCTTTTACTAGTACAAAACTAAAATATCAATAAAAAATAAAAAAATTAAATAATTATACTAAAAAAAATTAGTTAGAAAACTTTTATTAATAATAATAAACCAGTAAAAAATAATTTATCAGCACAAAATAAACAAAAAAAAGTAAAAAAAATAAAATGAAATAATAAAACATTAAAATAGTCACGTGAACCCGTTTTTTAAAAAAATTGATTGTTGAACCACGCCCACGAAACGGAGGCGCCATGCCAATTAAATCTAAAAATTGGTACCATTTGTTCAAAAAGTAAAGGTGGTAAAGGTTCCCGAATTTTTATATTTTGCTTTTACTTTTTATTTATTTATCAAATTCTGCATTATTTCATTATTTTTTACAAATATTAAATAAAAATAAATTAAAAATAGTTTTAAAAATCATCTTTAAACTTTTTTTGCGCTTTTAGTATTTATAAATATAAATTTTCTTTTTTACTTATATAAAATAAATTTCAGCAAACTTAAAAAAAACTCAAAAAAAATATACAATTTTTATATATGTAAAAAGTTTAGAAAACTCAATAATAATATGGAAAGCGCTACCATATATACATATTATTCTTAAAGCAGATTTGCCCTTATGACTGGAGAATATATTTTAGCTTGGACCAATCATATTTATAGGCTTCGCAATTAGGTTTTCAGTTTCATAAAAAAACGGACGAGGCCAAGCTGATTGGTGGCAGTGCTAGAAGTCTACCGGATATTTTTAAGGAGAGCCCTAAGGTCATAGGAGCAGACAGGACTAACTTTTATAAAATTTTTATAATCACCAATAATAATTCAAATTGTCCACGTGGTGATATGGTCCCTTGAAGTCAATAAAATTGCAACAATAAATTTTTTACATGTATATTTTTTATAAATATTATAAAAAAGAAAAAATCCGTAAAAATATTATTCTTATAGTATTGTTTTATTACTTTTTTAATAGTGTCACTATTATATAAACTAATTTTTATTTTTTAGTTTCTTGATAGATTTAAACATATATTTTTAAAGTTTATAAAAAGATAAGATAAAAAAATATCGTATCATTTACTATTAACTACATTAAATATAATAATATAAAGATTTCTCTCAAAAGTTTAGTAAAAATCGCGAACATATATAGAATTTTAATTTCAATATATGTATTATTAAAAAATATTAAAGAAATAAACATAAAAAAACATTATATGGTTTACTAAAATTTAATACATAAAAATATTATAATATTTAATAAAAAATTTTTTTTTTAAAATATTTTATATAAATAAAATAATACTAAAAAAAAGTTCCTTAATATATAAAAATACCTACAAGTTCAAATGAAGAATTTTTTTATAATATATAAATATTTAATGATATATTGATATATACTTTTAGAACATATTATAATATTTTTAAAAAGAACTCGAAAAAGTGTTTATTATAAATATTTTCTATATAATTTACATAATTTTATTATAAAATTATTATTTTTAAATAAAAAATAAATAATAATATTTTAATATAATAATAGATAAATAAATAATAATAAGTAATTAAATTAATAATAAATATTATTTGTATATATAATAATAATAGTAATAAATTTATAATAATATTATATACGTATTTTAATAATAATTATAATAAACATAAAATATGAGAATGACAATAATATATAAATATAATTATTTTGTTGATAATAAATCATTATATAAAAATTCTTTAACACAATTTTTTTTATTTTACGGATTCGTACAAGTTTTCGTGAGAAGAAATTTTTATATAAAAAAATGTATAAATATAAAATATTTTATATAATCCAAAAATAAATTGTTTGCTTAAGAAATTTTTATATAAAAATAAATATTTTTATAAATAAAAGTTTTTTTATTTCAAAATAACCTACATGTTTTCGAGTGATGAAACTTTCATAAGAAAAATGTATAATTATTTAATATATTTTAATATTATAAAGATAAATATATATAAATATATATGTTTATAAACCACAGTTTTTTAAGTAATAAAACCAATAAGTTTTTAAATATAGCTACAAAAAAATATTATAGCGATATATACTTATTGTTATTATAAATATTTTAAACATAAAAAGATATTTTTTTAAGAGTTTCATTAAAAAAAACCTACAAGTTTTCGAGTGAAGAAACTTTAAAAAGAAAAACGGAACTGGCAAAGGAGAAGCGAGTCGAAAGCAATAGGAAACTTCCAGCTCAGCATAATTATACTCAAACTTTACTTTCATAAGACTTTTTCCCACGCCGCTAGAAAGTTTATAACAAAAATATATCGTCTAAAAAAATAATACCGTAAAAACTTTTCTATTAAAACAAATATAAAAATAAATGCATTCATTATAAGAAGTTCGCTTTTATTATTATTTTTTTACTATCTATAGGGAAAAAGGATCCGAAGCACAAAAAAGTTAACTTTTATTATAAGTTTAAATGTAAAAAAAAACTTTTATATATATATAATAAGTAAAAAAATTAAAGCATACTTCTACGAAAGTTCACTTTTATAAATAACTTTCAAAACCTGTTTATAACAAAAACTTTTTTTTACAAAAAAGAGTTTCTTATGACACCACCAGAAAGTTTGAAAAAAAATAATGAAAAACTTTATATAAAATAAAATATATTCTTTATAAAAAAATAAACTTTAATAACTTTTTTAATAGTACATAAAACGTTTACAGTTTTTCATTTTATAATTATTTTTCCTTAAAATTTTTATTACTAAAAAAACTTTAATATAGAAAACTTTTTACTTTCAAAATATTTATAATAGTAACAATATTTTGTAATTAATATTTTGGTAGGCAATAATATAATGATGATATAATTATAAATAACTTAAAAATATCATAAATAGTATTATTGTAATAATAAATAATATGAATATTTTAAAAATATTAGTTTAAAGTTTTTATGTACTTTAATATGTTCACTTTATTATAGTATTCTTATTTATTGTGATTTAGTAAAAAAAATATATTAGTATTTAAAAAAAAAAAACTAAAGTAAATAGTAATAATATAAATACAAAGTTCCAAACTTTCCAAGGCAAGAAAAACTTTCTTCGTTAGGAAGAACCCTTGGTTCTACTGGTAGTTTACTATTTTTATCTTTTTTTTGAAATTCATAATATAATGGTATTAATTTATTTGGTTTACCTTTTTTAAAAGTTATAAAAATATAATAATAAACCTTAATTAATATTTTTTTTAAAAATAATATTTTTCATTATTTTATACCAAAAAGGGCGTCAGCCACTTAGAAATCGCTTTTATAAGCTCGCAACTTACACTAAACAGACATGCGAACGCGCGAGTTCGTAATTAGTAATAAATTGGTCCGGATAAACTCGGATTACTAAAGGACATCAGTTCGTAGAAAAAACGCAGCAGACTTACAAACGTCCAGGCTGAGCGTTGCACAAACAGAGGAGTCCTTAAAAAAGAGTGCTCGAGTATTGCACTCATTAAAATCTTTTAAATGAAAATATAAATCAATAAACCAATAAATAATTCACCAGTCAGAAAAGAAATAATAATTGTGTGATAAATAGATAAATTATTAAAAAAGTACATATCACCCAATATAAAGCAATAAAAAAACAACCAATCCATTTGTGAATAAAATTATTTAATATAATTGATCATGAAAAAGTAGCAAAAATTAATATGGCATAAATAAATTACCCTTTAAAAAAATAAATAATAATTTAGTAAAACCAAGTTAACAGCATTAAAGTACATACAAACAAATAAAGCAAAAAATAAATAAAATATTTTAAAAATAAATTAAATAATTTAATTGATTGGTCATAAAAAAATAGACCAATGAAGCAGTTAACGAAACAACATATAAAAAAATAAAAATTATTTAGAAATTAATTGGCTATCAGAAAAGTACAAATTAATGAATAAACTAAAAATAAACCAATAATGTTACAGTATGTTAATAGATTTGTAAACAAAACCCATCTCATTGGCCTGTAGGGCTACAGCAGGATCCACAAAAAACGCAAGAGGAACAACCAATGGCTCTCCAGAAAAGTCTGCAAGCCCGTGCCCTTCCCAAAGTGCCCCCAAAAGTCCTAAAGTGGCCCTATAAAAAAACACGAAAGCTTATTGGCCAATTATATTGAAAAAATAAACCATTATTGGTTCATGGAAATCAAAAAAAATTAGTAAAAGTTACCTTTCTTGTTCACATATTACTTTCATATCGCCGACGAAAGCATGATGCACTCGATATAATGAACTCCTGTTTATTATCATTATTTAATTTTACTCTTATTATTAGTATTAGTAGTATAGAAATAAAACCTGTTCATAGTCGGCTCTATTATATTGTAAAACTCGACTAAACTTTTCAAATAAAAGTAAATAGTCACAAAGTTATTATTTCTAAAATTTTAGTAATAATAATAATGATAATAATAATGAAAATAATAATAATAATACCGAACAGCGGCAGTCAAAAAATGATGACTCTCAAGTTATTAATAAAATAAAGTAAATAAAAAACTAAAGCAAAGCAAAAGTAAAAATATATAAGTTTAAAAAAAACTTAAAAGAGTTTCAATCCTTTATAAATACATAAAAAATATTATTTACATAAACAAAAATTAGTTAAGCAAAGCTAATGAGGAATGTCTTTAAAAAACATCCAGTCAAAAGACACAGAGAGAGAGGGTCATTAGTCCGCCAATCATCAAATTTAAAAATGCTCTTTTTATTTTTCTCTTCTTACTGGTACATTTTTATTTTTTAAAAACTTTATATACGTTAAAGATTATTAAAAATTTTAATAAAACAGCAAAATTATTTATGAAGTCCCAAAAAAACTTTTTAAGAATAAATAAAGAGAAATCGTCATGATTATATAAAGAAAATATGTTATATATATATATGGTATTTTTATATAAATAAGTTTTTATAAATATGTTAACTAATAATATTGTAAAAAAAAATAATATATAACTTTTTATACAAGATCTCCAAACTTTTAATAAGTATTTGCTAATGATATTTAAATAAATGAGTACATTTATAATAAAAAATAATATTTATATATTAAATGAAAATTTTTTCATAAAGATAATAACTCTTTTATAGCTTTATTATATTATTTCCTACTTAAAAAAAAGGTAATATAAAAATTAAATCATTGTAAGTCCTGAAAAAAAAAAAGTTAAACCAAAAACCTACTGTTTCGCTATTTTCATTGTCGGTGTGATAAATATTTATTAGAATGTCTTCTTTCTTAATAACTCCGTCTGTTAAAGATTCGCACTGAAATAAAATCTTTTTCATAAATATAATAATTAAAAAAAAATAATAGTGTAAAAACAGTTTTAAAAAATAATGAATAATTAATAAAAATAATACATACTAATAAAATTTATTATGAATATTTATACTAAATTAAACGTAAAAAAATTTAATACTGCTGGTTCTTAATTTTTTTTATGTTATCATAAATTAAATAAATATGATTATTTATTACTTAAAAATTCTATAAAATTAATAATTATGAATAATGATTAGAAAAATGAAGGCGAAAAGTATAATATTACAAGCTCTAAAATCTTTTTTATAGTAATTATAAAATGAAGGATTAATAAAGAATTCTTAGTAATAAATTTTTTTTAAAAATTATTTTAAATTAAAAGTTATAATAAAACCATATAACAGATATTCATCAAAATTTATTATTTATAATAACAAATTCAAAAATTATGATGAGTCAAGTGTTCGCTAATAAAGGGTTTGAAAAATAAACTTTTTTATAATAAATAAAAAAAAATTTGTTCACCAATAAAAATTCGAATAAAACAACATTTCCTCTAATAAATAAATCAATATTAAAGATTTAGTATAAAAAAATAATAAAATTATAATGATTTTAGTTGACCAACAAAAATTAAAAAAAATAATATATTTCATATAAAAAATAAGCAAAAATTGAAAAATTATGATATATTTAGTGCATCAATAAAAATTAGAATAAGTATAACATTTCATATAATAATTAAACAAAAAATTCTAATTTTATAATGAACTTTTTCTAATATATCTTCTTTACTGCTAGCGAAAAACAGTTATGATAAGAAAAAAATTCAATTTGCCGGGCGCTTCAAAAGTGACAAATTACAAAATTCGTAGAGAAAACTCATAAGAAACTGACATATTAAAAGAAGCAAAAAAATCATTAGAAAAAAAAGATACAAGCATTATTACGAAATAATGAGTTGCATTAGCTGAATTTTTATATAATATTCTTATTGGTTAAAAAAAAAATTAGTATCATCCTTTTTACTGATGTTTATATTTTTATTAAGCATGTATTTCTTTATTTTTATGAAAAATATAAAACCTTTACTTTTTTTTTATACTTGTCCATATTTTCATTCTTTAAAAATCTTTATATTACTCTCTTCTACCCCAACAAACGAAAGCCAAAGCATTAAATATAAAAGCTTATACCAACTATCATAACCTTTAAAGAAAAAGAATAACATTTCTTAAGTTTCATAACAATTTAATGAAAAAAATTTGGTTTTTGCAACCAATAGAAAAAAACATTCAAAACTATCATATGGAGCACGACGTTTTTTCATTAATGAACTCATCAGTTATAAGCAAATTAATAATTCATTTAATGAGTTTATATTTTTTACAAAAATTTTAATTTACCACAAATTTTTATTATTTTAATAAATTTTATTATAAAATAAATAAAAGTTCGTTAACAATTTTTATATAAAAATTACCTCAACGCACTCAATTAATAAAAATAATAAAACAGCAGCTTTGATAAGAAAAATATCAAAATGACACTCACGTGGAAGCATTTTAAAAAAAAATGGGGGGTCAACAAGTTAATCAAAAAACGTTTCTGTGCCAAAACAAGACCACCCACAAGGTAGAAAAACCACCAATACGCTTTTCGTTAAAAAAATATATTTTTTAGCATTGGCTAAAAGAAAAGAAAGAAAGTATTGCGGCGTTTGTAAAAAGTATAATGATAGTAATAATAAAACTTATAGTAATAGTAAGGAAAACTAAATATTATTATGCTTCTATGAAATAAGTAAAACGAATTTTTTTTTAAAATAATAAATATAAAAAATACTAATATTATAATAAATAATGAATAAAAAATTATTAAATTTACTATTAATTAAATATTTATAAAAATTTAAATAATTCATAATTTTATAGTAATAAAATTGTATATTTGAAAAAGTTTAACTTTTATATATTTAATATTTTAAACTGATTTAAAATTTATTAATAAATAATATAAACTATAAAAAAAATAACGAAATAAATTTTTATATATTTTTTATAATAGTTAAAAATAAAAAAAAAAGTTTAATAATAATTAAACGTAGAAGAAACTTTTTTATAATAAACAAAATATGATAAAAAACTTTTTGAAAGTATAATACAAAAAATCTCCATTACTTTCAAAAAATATTTATACAAGATTTATTTTAATTATTTTTATTAATATAAAGAAATACAACTCATATTGTTTAAAGTAGTTTAAGCAAGTATAAAAACTTTCAAACTCTTAAAAAAAATTGTAAATTATATCTTTTTATAGAAAAGTTATAGTAAAGTAATAATAGAAAAAAAAAGTTTTTATTACTTATAGAAAAAAATTACTTCAACTAAAAAAACGTCGTTGCTTAAAAATAATGAAACGGTCGGAAGAGAATCAGAGTCCACGTGGAAAGCAAGATCAAGTGATTCAGAAAGCGCCTAAAATAATAGTTATTATTATTATTATCATTATTTATTGTTATTATTACTATTGTAAAAATGTATGTAACTTCAATTATATATTATTATCCATTTTTTTATAATAATAAAAGTGATCAGTTTATTAATATATATAAATGCTTAATTAATTTAAAACTCTATAAATAATAATTTAATAACTTCAACATTTTTATAATTTCCAACAATGGTAAACATGTTAGTTTTTAGTACAAGAATCTAATTATACTAACTAAAATAAAATATAATACTGTTATTCAATTCATATATAAATAGAAAAAATATGTCATAGTATATATATATTGTTGTCACCATTATTATTTTATAAGCAGAAAAGATATAAGTAAAATTCAAAAAATAGAAAAAACAAATTTACCCAAAAAGCAAACGCAAATGGTAATTAACAGCTTCCACTATTGCAAAAATGTTCACAACAAAAGTTAAAATATTTATATAAATTATTATTCAGTACTCTGTTTTAAGATTTACATATATTAAAAGTATAATGAAGCGAAATTTAATTACTATAAAAAGTTTATTTTTACAACAGCTTGTTAATAAATTTCGCGAAGCGATAAAATTCAATATTAAATATGCTTTTTAAAAATAATATAAATTATGTAAAGTAATGACTTTCATAAGAAAATTAACCACAAAATTATAATAAAAATTTGTTAAGCTAAATTAGTTTACTTATTATTATAATTAATATAATATATATATATAATTTTTATATCTATAAGAAAAACCTTAAATTGCTCCATAAAAGATGTACATTTTATATAATTCTGTTGATAATGTCTTAAACTTGTAAGCAAAAAGGATGAATCTCCTGTTTCCTTGCACTTTTCCAAGCATAAACTCATTACTTTTTTTAGGTTTAGAATCTTTGTCCTTTCTAGTTCGACTTCCTGATTGCATGATAAAGATTTATTTATTTTGTAAAAAATTGTACTATATTAATATTATAAAAGATCTAAGAATTCTTACTATTTTTATATCATTATGGAACGAAAAAAAAATAACGATGTAGAGTCTGTAAAGATAACTCACGCGAAGCATTATAAATAGATTGTCGTTAAGCTTTCCTTGTTTTAAAAAACCTTTGCAGGTTAGTAACAGATTTTTCAGTGAACTAATATTTTTAATAAACTTATTTTTTTCTTTAACAAAATTACGAGATCCATACTTGTGTTCTTTGCCATATGAAAATAAAATAAGTTTTTAAATAAGTCCCTTATCTTAGTATTTGTTACCTAGATCACTCCCTTTGTTTTCAAACAGAGAAGCTAAGCTATCGACGCAACTCTGAATAGAAAGATGAGACAGTGCTATAGTCATCACACCACGTACGTACAAGTTACTAAACTTTTCAAAAGTTTTTTAAATTGTTGCATGTATATGAGGGTGGGCCTCCTAAGGGCAGGACTATAGGGATTATGTGCGCTTCGCGCTCTTCCTTCTTTTTTAATGCTATTTAGACGGCTCGGGAGCAGTTTAGTGAGTCATTTCAGCTCTTCTTAACTAACTTTGTTTTATATTTCTTTGTAATATAATTTTTTAAATTTACTCTCATTTGTTTATAATATATCAGTTATCGAAGTTATCAAGTCTGTAAGATCAACAAAACATTAAAAAATCGTCGGGGTGTATCCCTTATAAAAAAAGATGATTAAAAAATTTTTAAGTGAGTTTTCCCTATTATTTCAGTATCAACTAAAAAAAAATTAATGTGACTTTTCAGGTATACGTATAAAGTCAAGTCGTTATATGTATTATTAAGAAGACAAAGAAAAAGGATTTATAAATTTAAAATAAAACACCACCAACTGAGCGTATTAAACTTCAATTAATGAAATGAGCTAAAATAAACTGTTAAATAAAAACCAAGCTGATTTTAATTCTACTTGCAAAATCTGGTAATATAGCAGATTTTGTTTTCACGAAGTAAGAAGTGACCTTCCTTATTATTTGAAAACAAACTTTTTAATAAATATAAACGTTCTATAGAACCTTATGATATCCTTATGTAATGCTACACAGATTTTTTTTAGACTAAAAAATATGAATATCGCCCTACAGAGGAACACAATCTGCTAATACGGAAGGTTTTTTTTAAAAAAAAAGCACGAATCTAAAAATTACCTTAAGAGGCCGTATAATTGTCGATATGAAAAGCCATAAAGCATATAGAATACTAAACAATTAATTTTATAATAAATTTAACTAAAGAGAATTTTTACGAATCTGAGACAGTAAAGAACAATTACAGGGAATCACCTATAATAAAAAACTTCATACAAAAATCTATTATCATTACCTTAAGCAAGCTTTACAGAGAAAATAATGTGTAAGAAAAACAAATATACTCAAAGAACAATTTAACAAGACGATTCAAAAAAGATCTCTTGTTCATTCTACTCTAAGCAGGCTTGTGGTAATAGGAAGTTACTTCAAGGAAAACAAAAGTAAAATTGAGCCAGGAACCGTTCATAAATAAAAATGTTGGAAAGATAAGTCGCTTATAGGAAAAGCAAGGAAATAAGCTCACTATAAACTAAAATAAATTCATTAAACATTACTGTTATTTTGAAGGAAAAAAGCATATTGTATATTTATAATTCTATAAAGGAAACACATACTGGCTAAAAACAGGTTTTTAAAAAGCTAGCCTTCGTAATTATTTATTTATAAATTTTCACCGCCTCGCTACAACTACCCCTATATAATAAATACTTGTAATCCGAAGTAACGCATGCTTGACCACATAGTTACAGGTAAGATAGAACCTGCCTCAAGATTTTAGCAATCCTACGCATTTTTACCAGTTTTAAGAGTAGTTGTTTTCAACCGCGGACCGTCAAGCTAGATTTCAGGCACCACCTTTAACTCTCCAAAGTAATGCCCAACTTTCTGGGGCATTAAAGGTGGCCCTTTGAAGATCCCGTATGGACAGCTGTGCAGGCTGGTGCTATTAGTGGTAGCATTAGGCGCTGTTTTGTGTCTTTGACTGTTGCCTTGAACCTAATTTATGAGCCTTCTCGATTTCAATGCACATTCTTCATGAGCGCAAGGGTTACTCTTTGTCCCTAGGCTCATCGTCGTACAAGTGCTTGTAACAGACAAGCCTATATACAAAATTCGCAACTTCCATCGCTCTTAGTCCATGTTTAAGTGGTTCCGAATCAAAACTTTTGTTTATTAAATCATCACTTATACTAAGTGTCAGACACGATCTTTGCTTTCAGCAGACCTTATTTGCATTGAAAGTCCCCGATTAGCCTGGCACTTAGCTGTTTTTTCCAAACTTTTAGTTTAAAAAATGATTCAAGTAGCGCATCATTCACTATGGGGAGCGGCGCGGTTATTATACATAGTACTAGCACTAATAAGAAAAGGTACCCTTAGCATGTACCGAAGCCCAGATAAGTCACCGAAATGAGCTATGCCAGAGCCGCTGCAATGCTAAAAATAATTTTATAAAAATGCTAGTACTATGCTACAAGCTCAATCAGTTACAATCAAGCATGCATTCTCGGAATCAAGGAACAAATGCACTGCGTTCATCTTTGCTACTAACATGACAGAAGTTTAATCTAGCAACTTAGCTGTATTCGTTAACGGTTTAATAGGTTAATAGTTAACTACAACAATCTTCCTAGGCAAATTAGAATTAAAACTTGATTCGGAAGGCGATGCTAGAACTCAACGCCAAGCCTTACGGTTAAAGTTAATTAGCTTAAACCGTAACACGACCCTAGTCATCATCAAGCTACAAACTTCTCGTAACAATTACGTTAGCTAAAACTTGCGCCATCAGATACATGTAAAATAGAACCTGCTCCAAGGCTAAGGTCAATTCTCAAGTTTTTGTCAGTTGTAAGAGCATGTCTTTCAACACGTGCGTCTCTAACATAACATAACTCAATTTTAAGTTTAAATTAGTTAACTATTGCAGCCTGCGGCTCTCCTCAGTAACGCCATGCGCTCAACCTAGAGCTTAGCTAAGGAAAGTACCATAATCACGATCCTAGGTTGGTAAATAGTCAGGAAACGAGTCCAAGCTTCAAATCGGAAGCTAGCCATGTTGAACCTAAGGTTACTGTACATTATCCGCCTTAGCAGAGGGCTTAAAGGATATTCGTTTGCTAACACCACCGGGTAGTAGAGGGTGACATGACCAAAGCAAAGATAAGTTTACATCACTACTCTCTTCCTTAAGGTTGACAACCTTCGAGCGCCGGAGATCGAAACCACCCGGAACCCTCGTGAAATAACCTGCGAATTGAAACGTATTTTAATGAATAGGCACGATCTTTTTCGTGCACTTGTACTAACATGTTCCTGGGGACGGCAATTGTCGGTGCATCCTCACTACCATGCAGAGTGTACATCAATGCTGGATAGCTCAGATAAAGTAACCATCAATCAAGCCAACCACTAAAAGCTTAATCATCACCGCTGAGGTATAACGATAACTACCTAACTTTAAATCATGGCCGCATGATAGCCTAGATCGCGAAGACCACGTAAGCAAAGAAGGAAGCTCGCGTCAGGCAAGCGTCAATAAAATAAGGTAAAATACCAGCGCTGGCACAAGTGCGAAGGTGCCTTGAGAATAGATTTCTATTCTCTAAATACATGGGTCTGAAGCCCTTAAGAATTTAAAAATAACAAAAATAAATTAACAATAGTGTTTCTACCCAGTGAAATTCAATACACATAAGTTAAAATCAAGGTAACAGGTAGAAGTACTAAGTAAAGAATCATAATGATTAAAAGTTATAAAAATATTCTAATAATTTTTGAACTATTAAAGAAAATATCTAGCATATACTAGTAAGTAGCACTATTGTGTGGAGATAATTCGAGAAAACCTTAAGATCAGGAAGGGCATGTAAAAGTTTTTATATAAATTTAACCACATCACCAGTTTACAACTAGTTGATTAACATCCAGATTCAATGTCAATCATGCTACTTGATCACTCATTAACCTAACCGACATGAGATTTGCTTAGGCTTGCACGAATCTACTCGAATTAGGTAGACTTAGCCCCTAGAACCAAGGTTGAGTTAGTTTCAAGGGATTTACTTTTATCGCTTTGATAAGTTCTGATGGGAGCCAAAAGAACCAAGTAGGTAATACCGCTAGTATGTTTCGCCGAAACATTGATATAAAGCATTTATTGTCAGTTTTTATTATCATTATTATCATTAGGTTAGCTGCTAGTTCAAGTGGTTTATGTTAACTTTCTTTCAAGCTAAACATGTTTATGCAAGCTACTCAACGGCTCACAGGAATTACATCTGCTAAGGCCTAACGTGACTCGACTGTTTTACCAGTTTTACGAGCAAATCTTTCGATTCACAGGTTTTACTTAGCGCTCTCCTCGGTCAACGAATGTTCTCGTCGCTATTTTTTCAAGTAAAGCAACCATAATCATAGCCTGAAGTTTTATCTTACTTTGTGTGCTAAAATGCTAACTAGAGTCTACTTGGTGTTTCAACTGAAGCCAAAGTCAACCTCGGACTATAGAGGGTTAATAAACATAACCAGGTTTCGTAACTACATCACACATTGAATCAAACCGAGGATGGAGCATAACCGGTTAGATTAGGAAGCCGATGTCAGAGAATATATATCGAGCCCAATGGCGAATTTAACTAAAAGGCCTATATAAGAAGGCCGATTTAACTCAAAGCAAAGTTTTCATTCTATTTCTTGCTAGTTGATCTTGAGGCAGAGTTTTACTTTCGCCAATTGATTTAGGCTGCTACAGTTCATAGATGCACTTAATTTTAGTACTTTGCGCTTAAAAGTTAGTACTTGTTGGTTTACTTTCTTACGGTTATA